AGTAAATACAAATGCTTTTGGATCTTCAATTTCGATAACATTTTTAAGTCCATACCTGTTATAAGATGTTGGATCGGGATCAATTCTCTTGTAAAGCACGTTTCCATATTGGTTTCCATTATTATATTCAACTACAAAACAGAGTTTGCTATGGTTTTTGATTTTGTCAAAGAAAGAATAATCACTATCACCTTTATTGTTGTTAAAAACAATTTCTTTTATTGGCCCAACACCTTTTTCGAGTTCTTCCACATTTATGCCACTTTGTGTTGACAAAAAACAATTCTTCAATTTCGAAACCTTTTCATATATTTCGAAAAGGGTATTTTTATTATATTTATAGTTCTCATTGTAATCATTTAATCTTCTACAAACCAATTTGAGATATTCACTCTCGATAAATGATTCTTCTGTATTGTTTACTATCTTGTCTTTATAAACAATACGATCTCTGTATTCTATTTTTGGAGTAGATTCTGAATCTACATTGGATTTGGCAAGTATTTCATCGAGAGTAATATTATTAATTACGTCCAATTTACCCAACGCCAATGCAATATTATTTGCCTTAATTCGGGTGTTTTGACTTGAAGATGTCATATGTGATTTTTTGGTTTTGAAATAGTTCTTTAAATTTGTATGAATGATTATTGTTTGTTAAAATAAATAATATGAATTTAGAATTTATAACCTTTTAACGATAATTAATATTATTATTTAAATATAAAAAATCTTTATAATGATTTTAAACTACCTTTTCAATTTTAAAATCGTATCAAATAAAAAGTTTTTAAATGATTTTTAGTTTTTTATTGGAACTTTATTAATTTAATGGTTTAGAAATATAGTTTTATAAAAAAAATTATAAATAATAAGTTATGTACTCAAGAATCTTATCTAGAAATATTATAAAAACTTCAAAAACCAAATAAATGTTTTTACCTGTTTTTTTAGAGTTTTCAGATACTGATATCTCTTAATATTTTTGGGGGTACAAAACCCCAATAAACAAAAATAATAATATAAGTTTAATTTTATTAAAAAATATTTAATAAAATGTACTTTTACTACATTTTTTAATACATATATTCATATTGTTTCAATTAAAAATATATTATTATTATAAACAATTATTAATATATTGTATAAAAGATAGTTTAGTTCATTATAATACATTAATATTTATATTATTTAAATGAGTGTTATTCAGTGTGATATTAAAAATAAATGTAAATTATTGTCTATATTATATTGTATTAACAACATATTGTCGATATATAATAATTGTTAATTTTGGCTACTTTTATGTTGTACAGTTACATATACCTTAATGTTTTTAAATAGTGATATACAAACAACTAACTATTACAAAAATTCTATTCATCACTATTCAATATAATGTTATTGATCATAAAAAAATCTTGACTAACAATTATTTATTAATAACATTTATTTATAATTATAATAAGATGTTGTAATATATTTTTAATAATAAAAACAAATAACTTTTTATTAAAATGGAAAAAAGTCTATATGACAATTATGTGAACATTGCTAATTATTATTAACACAAGATTATTATTGAAATAAATGTTTTTGTTGAAAATATAATAAGATTTAATTAAAATTATTAAACAAAAATAATACATATAAAAGTATGTTAATAATTAAATCAAATTAAATACTATTATAAAATAAAAAAGTGAACAAAATATTTGTTATTTTGTGTTGAACGAACAAACTTTTATTTTAAGTAACATTTCATCAATTAAATGATATTTGAAACAAGTTTTTATTTAAAAACAACAGAAATTAAAAGCGATATAATCTTTTTTGTATCATTTTTTAATGATGTAACTATTTTGTCTATTTTCCAAATAAAAAGTTTACATAAAGATAATCATAACATCTCGAAAACAATTAAATGTTGTTTTTAATTGTATTATATTTCTTTGATGTAATTTATGCCTTTTCTGATACTCCATTAAAACCAAGTTTCATTAGAGTTACTCATGGACAAGAATATGAATTGGCACGAAGGCTCGAGTCACAAGTTGAAAATTTAGAACAACAAAACCAGAATTTACAACATTAATAATTACAATCAATTCAAAAATAAATTATTTTTTGTCTGAAATGAAAACACTAAAATGTTTCTTTCACGAGGAGTTTTGTTTGGCCCATTTTCAAGACAAGAACTTATCACGTTCAACAACTTATGTTTGAAATCCTAGAAAAGGAACTTGAAGTTGATCATTTTGGTTCAAGAAGAGTGATTGCTGCAATAAGATTTCTCATTCCGATAATTGAATGGATGACTGCAGAAAGCACTAAAAGAACGTTGGGTACGTTTTGGAAAACACAAAATAGGTTCATAAGGAAATTTGAAACATCAAAAATGAAAAGCAAAATTACAATTGAAAGAAAAGAAGAGGTTGAAACGATGGAACTTAAATTTAAAAATATAAGAACATTTATATTTGATCTTACACATTGTTTATTTGATGTGTTGGATAATCCATTATTTACTTATTATGAAGCTCGAAGAGAGACAATTGGTATTGTTTAAAACATGAATAAGTTTTTGTTGGATATAGAAAATCGAGTTGAAGAGATAAAATATACTAAAAGCTTATATTTACAAACACGATTATGAAATAAACGATTGGGAAATGGTTTTGATTTTTATTGTTTTGAAACATTTTTAGTCGGATAAATATTAAACATGTGACATTTGAATATATTTAATTATATTAATATCAGTAAATTAAAAATGTATTTAAAAAACAAATATAATGACAGTGAATATTACATTTGATATTAATGTGATATGTTATTATTCTACAATTTTTAAAAATAAAATTTTTTTTATAATAGTAATAATTTTGTTTGTATTTTTATCTATTTTATAACATTCAGTATAAGCTGTGTTTTGTTAAATTTGCGAGTGATATTTAAAATATTTGACTATGTTTAATTTGATAATAAATACACACAAAAATTATTGTGTTGTACAATAATTTTTATGTGTTTTTGAAATATATTTTAAGCATTTTGCTTTTATATAATATTCAAAGTTATATGGAATTGACAATATTTGTATTAAATGATAAACTAAATAACATTTATAACAACACTAAACAAAAAAAATATCACAAACTAATAATTAGTTGTTGATTTATTATTATTTATAATAATAACTATTAATTATAATAGTAAATTATAGCAATTGTTATAATATTTTATCATTATATTCAAATAATATTATTAACTATTTTACAACTAAATATTTTAATAAATTTTCACTTTTTAGATATTCAGGTTGTAATAAACAAATTAATTTCATTTAATTCAAATATAAAAAAATACAAAAAACCAAAACAATATATTATTAATAAAATATAATAAATTGAATAGAATAGTTTAATAGTTAAATTAAATCAAATTGTTAACTTGATAACAAAAATAGCCAATGAGTCACAACCGATCACTATTTGACTATTTTGTTATTCGTCGCTCAAC